AAAAAAGTGTCAATTACAAAAATGAAGCTCTTTTTTTGTTTAGTACAGTATAAAAATTTCAGAAATATCGGAAAAGTTTGAATTAATTTTTCAGGGACTTGAAAATCATCAATTTTGAAAAAAAATTTTTTTTTGAAAATTTGAAATTTCAACCATTTTTCCTCGATAATTTCAAAATTTAAAGACTCACATGAAAATTCAAGTTGACAGTTTCATCTACTGCAAACAACGAATCAAACTTCTGATTCATAGCTTGTTTCGATTGCTCATACGTCTTCTGCTCCTCCAAAATCTGCGTCTCCCCAGTCATTTTTCTCAAATCCACCGCGAAATTCGCATTTTTCTCTTTTATCGCCGTGATTTTTTGTTGAAGCTGAATTCGTCGTTGAATTTGAACACTTCTGACTTCCGCCTGCTTTCGCATATCCTTCTTTTTTTGCACACATTTTCTGGCGTACTCCCGGTTCTTGGCCATCTGGCGGCGACGTTCCTGGAAAAGGACGTTTTTTGAATTCTTAGAATTGATGGATTTCATTCAAAATTTCAGATTTTGCTAAACAAAAACAGAGCTTCATTTTCGTAGTTGACCATTTTTTTAGCGATAGTGGTTTTTGAGATATGCGCCTTTAAAGTCAATGCACCCAGGGACCCAGGATCCAGGTCACCCAGGGATCCAGGGACCAAGTCACCCGGATCCAGGTCACCCGGATCCAGGTCACCCGGATCCAGGTCATTCGGTCAGGGTCACCTCGAACCAGGTCACCCAGGGATCCAGGGTCCAAGTCACCCGGATCCAGGTCACCCGGATCCAGGTCATTCGGTCAGGGTCACCTCGAACCAGGTCACCCAGGGATCCAGGGTCCAAGTCACCCGGATCCAGGTCACCCGGATCCAGGTCACCCGGATCCAGGTCACTCGGTCAGGGTCACCTCGAACCAGGTCACCCAGGGATCCAGGGTCCAAGTCACCCGGATCCAGGTCACCCGGATCCAGGTCACCCAGCTCCAGGTCACCCGGACCCAGGTCACCCGGACCCAGGTCACCCGGACCCAGGTCACCCGGATCCAGGTCCCCCGGATCCAGGTCACCCAGCTCCAGGTCACCCGGACCCAGGTCACCCGGATCCAGGTCACACGGATCCAGGTCACCTGGACCCAGGTCACGCGGCTCAGGGGCCAGGACCCAGGACCGAGGACCCAGGATCCCCGCCTCCCTTCTCTGGTGCCCCGAGAAGGGAGAACTGATTCTTCCCTCTCATTTCCCTCTTCCTTTATAGTGTTTTTCTCAAGGTCAATGGGCCATCAACCTTTCCTTGTTCAAGAATTTCTTTGTTTTTCTCACACGTGAAAAAACCCCCGAGTTCTAAAAAGATTTTCTTTTTGACCCTAATTATCTCGGTCCCTGTAAAAGATATGGAAAATTTGTTCACTGATAAAATGTTACTGATAATATGATAAACGTTTTATCTGTTGACACATTTTTGATATCTTTAACAGGAGTCGAGAAAAATTAGGTCAAAGTTTGCTGTGCTCCGCCGGGCGATGAGCCCCGGATTGTTTAAAGACGTATATCTCAAAAACTACGGTGGGTATCAAAAAAGTGTAAATTGCAAAAATGTGTAAAATTCAATTCTACATAATTTAACAATTTACGCTTTTTGGATAGCTACTGTAGATTTTGACTTATGCGCCTTTAAAGATAGTATACCTTTGCGTCACCCACCTTTTCCCTCTAGACGCTCCTTGTTTAAAGGCGCATATTTCTAAAACTACGGTAGCTATCGAAAATGAGTAAACTGCAAAAATGTGTAAAATCAAATTCTACCCATTTTTGCAGTTTATATTTTTCTAATAGCTACTGTAGTTTTCTAGTTATGCGCCTTTAAAGAAGGCATGCCCTCAATGCATTCTAGGAGACGCAGACAGCTAGACACTCTCGTTTCTCTGCGTCTCTTCTATTTTTCTTTGAGAATTTTTTTTCAACTTTCGGGGATGTGAGAAACTTTCAACTAGATTTAATTAGAAATTTCAAGATTTCTGGCAATTTAGAGAAAAAAAAAGTAATTTCGGAAAAAAATTTTTTGGAAAATTTTGAAAATTGCCGAATTTCATTAAAATGTGATTTTTTGCAGCCAATTATCCGAATTTAGTATCAGACTAAAGGAAATTCCATGAGAATTTCGAAAATTTTAAGAGTTTAACTTAATTTTGGCTTTATTAACAGTTGTGCGCCTTTAAACTTTGGCTGACTTTCGCACGGTGCCCTTGTGTTGAGACACGCTACTTTTATAGGCGCATAACTCAAAAACTACGGTAGCAATCCAAAAAAATTAAATTGCAAAAACGTTTAAAATTGAATTTTTCACATTTTTGCAATTTACGTTTTTTAGTAGCTACTGTAGTTTTTTAGTTATGCGCCTTTAAAGAAGGCATACCCTTCCCCGCCCTCCCCCTCCTGCCAGAAATGCCAACTTTAAAGGCGCATATCTCAAAAACTGGAAAAGCTAAAAAAAAGTTGTCAACTACAAAAATGAAGCACTAGTTCAGTTTAGTGTACTCTGAAATTTTCAGAAAAATCTGAAAATCCTAAATCTATCTAGACGCCTTCAAACATACCTCATCCTTTTTATCGAATTTCGTCTCATTTTGATTCAATTTTCGATACTCTTCCCGCCATTCCTCCGTGGTGTCATCCATATCAATTTCGTTATTTTTCTCAAAATTCTGATCGTGATCCACCTGATCAATCGATGAAATCGAAAAAAATCGATTCAGTTTTTCCAAAATTTCCGGATCTTTCTCATTATTTTGAATTCCCTGGTTTAACAAGTTGAAGATGGGATTTTCAGATTCCACGTCTTCTGGAACGACGTCTTCTGGGACAGAATTCTTTTGAAAATCCATAATGACTTTCAAAATCTCTGGAATTTCTTGTTCTTCCAGATTTTGATTATTGGTTCCAGAAAATTCTGGAATTCCAGAAGACGTCTCATTATTGTTGATTTGACCATTTAGAGTGTCTAGAAGGAATTGAAACACTTCTGAACCGTCAGCCATTCTGAAAATGCAAAATTTGAACAAATTTTAATTTGATCTACCAAAAATTCCTTATCGATTGGTATAAAAATCATAGAAATCGGTGTGCTGGAAGCTGAGATATGGTCCATTAACAAGGTGTGCGATGTTTAGCAGTAAATGCGCTCTAGCAAACTTGAAAATCAAAATTTTCGAAAAATTTAAAATTTAATCATATTCTTTATAAAATTTCCTATTGATTAGTGTAAAAATCATAAAATTTGAAAAAAAATGAGCGAAGATATACGATTTTGAAAAAAATTCCAATTAAACAAATTTTTTTCAAAATTGATAATTTCAAGCTTCTAAAATTCTAGTTCAAAATTGCTCAATTTATCTGAAAATTTCAGACTATACTAAACAAAAATAGAACTTTATTCTTCTAATTGACACTTTTTTCCTAGCTACCGTAGTTTCTGAGATATGCGCCTTTAAAGTTTGCAGACCCAGAGAGTGGGCGGAGAGCCGCATATCTCAAAAACTACGGTAGCTAAATTGGTGGATGAAAAATTGGATGGCGTGCTTTTGGCGCGCTTTTGAATCTGTTCTCATCATTTAGAAGATTCTGGAACGTCATCTGAAGCTTTTAAAAATGAGGAAATTTTGAAAATTAAAAAAAAAATTATTTGTGGATTTTTTTCAAAAAGAAATAATTTCAAGTTTCTAGAATTCTAGTTCAGAATTTTTCAATTTATCCGAAAATTTGAGATTATTCTAACCAAAGATAGAACTTCATTTTTGTAGTTGACACTTTTTTCCTAGCTACCGTAGTTTTATAGTTATGCGCCTTTAAAGACAACAGCCCCTCGGCGCCTCTCTCAAAGGGGCGGGCGCTTTAAAAGCGCATATCTCAATAATTACGGTAGCTATCAAAAATGTGTAAATTGTGAAAATGAAGCTCTATTTTTGTTCAATATATTCTGAAAATTTCAGATAAAAAAACCTTATATCTCAACTCAAGGCATGCCAAATTTCATGATTTATATATCAATCAATAGAAAATTATTGTAAATTGTTTAACTTTTTAAAAAATTTTGAAATTTTCAATTTCGGCGGATTCTGGAGCGCTGTTACACAGGCGCCCATAACCCGTCGCTAGGTAGATTTACGCAGTTGCGCTCTAGCAGACTTCAAAATCAAAATTTCTAAAATTTTCAAAAAATATTAATGATCTACAAAAAATTGCCTATCGATCGGTATTAAAATCACCAACACTTTTTGATTTTGAAGGTAGTTATGAGTCAAGATATGGAAAAAAGTAAAATTTTCAAAAAAAAATTTTTTTTGAAAAATTTTCCAAAAGTTTTAGAAAAGTTAAAATTAGGATCCTATGCGCTCTAGGGTAATTTGAGGCTCTTTTTTTCAAAAGTTTGACTAATTTCAAGCCCTAGAACCTTCTAGAATGCCAAAAAACAGGACCAAACGAATGAAAATATAAGAAATAGAGGAGATTTAGAGAAAAAGAGAGAAAAAAAACCATATGATCGCTTGCTAAGGAAAAATGTGTCGTATTGATATGATTGCATGATAATAGAAAACAGTGTTAGAAAGTGTATCTTTGATTGCATGGGTATCATAAAACGAGAGGGAGAGAGAGTGAGAGACGCAGAGTGGGCGGAGCCTAAATGAGAACTTGTATACAAGAGAAAAGAGACGCAGAAAGACGCTGAGCAGTCAATATGGTGATTTGGTGATAAGAAAATTAGGGAATCATCACTGGCGAGAGAGAAGAGACGCAGAGATTTTTTTGAAAAAATAAAATTTTGGGATTTTTCTCTAAAAGTTTTTCTTTTTTTTTATTCCAGATTTTTGTAGCTGTACGCATCAATTTCAGACTGAAAATTTGTATTTGCTAATCCTTTTTTTTCTTGGGAAATTTTTTTCCCGAAAAATTCAAAATTTGAAACAAATTTTTTTTTTCAAAATTTTAAATTTTCCATATCTTGGCTCATAATGAACTAATATCTATTATGTTTCGTATCAATCGATAGGAAATTTTGTGTAGACTATTTTGCAATTTTAGACTTTTCGGAAATTTCAACTTTGAAATTTGCTAGAGCGCAATTGCATCAACCTACCTTTTGACGTGAGATGGGCGCCTGACGCATTTTAGTGCTCCTGATTCCGCCAAAATTGAGACTTTGTTGAATTTCAGAAATCATAGTAATTTACAAAATATTTGCTATCGATTGGTATAAAAACCATAACATTTGACATACTGTAAGCTGAGATATGAGGTTTTGAAAATGTTTTCAATTTTGAATTATTTTTCAAAATTGATGATTTTCAAGTCTCTGATAAATTATTTCAAAATGTTTATCTTAATCTGAAAGTTTCAGACTATCATTAACATAAACAGAGCTTCATTGTTGTAATTGACAACTTTTTGATAGCTACCGTAGTTTTCGAGGTATGCGCCTTTAAAGCGCCCGTCCCTTGAGAGAGAGCCACCGGAAGGCGGGGGCTGCCTACTAAACAAACCCTGAGCTTCATTTTTGTAGTTGATACCTTTTTCCTAGCTACTGTAGTTTTTGAGATATGCGCCTTTAAAGTTTGTGCACCTTTAGGCGGCGCGCCGCGCGCGCTCTCTCAACTGTTTAAAGGCGCATATCTCAAAAACTGCGATAGCTTGAAAAAAGTTGTCAACTACAAAAATGAAGTTCTAATTTGGATTAGTGAAATTCCAAATTTTCAAACAAATCTGAAAATTTTCAGACGCATTTTCAGAGCCTCGAAGATGGATGTCCATTCTTGCTGAAGTTGTTCGAATTATCGTCTAAATTGCCAATGGAGCACAATTGCATCATTCACTCGTTGCTATGTAATCTGCAAATACTGTATCTTATCATTGTTATCATCTATTGTTATCATTTGTATAATATATATATATATATTTATGTATATGGACACGACTTGGGAACTATGCATTATGATTATTCTACTGAGCAAACAGGAATGAAAGGGAAGGGAAGGGACACCAAAAAACTGAGCAATACAAAAAAATAGTTTAAAGATTTTTTAATCGGACAGCAAAAATCCACTTCTGAAAAAAATCTGAAAAAAGTTTTCTGAAAATCAGTATTTCTATCAAAACTTTGATAGTTTTCAATATTTTCAAATGAAACTTAAATTTTTGAATTTCCCACGTAGAGAGCTTTAAAATGAGTATAATCATGAGCTACTTTCTTCAAATTTCAAATTTCGGACCCCCTATGCGCCTTTAAAGTCGAAAAATCAAAATGGGCGGAGCCTAGTCGTGTTTATACTAATTTTAAAGCTCAAAACATGGAAAATTCAAAAAGTTAAGTTTTAACTCAAAATTCTGAAATTGAAGAAAGTCATGGTCCAAAAATGAAAATTTTGAAAAAAATTGTATTTTTATAAATTTTTATATTGATCTTAAACCGATCACTTTTTAATTTACTTAGATAATATTTAGATTTTTGAATTTCCCACGTGAAGAGCTTTAAAATGAGTATAATCATGACCTACTTTTGAAATTTTCAGTATTTCGGACCCCCTATGCGCCTTTAAAGTCGAAAAATCAAAGTGGGCGGAGCCTAGTCGTGTTTATACTCATTTCAAAGCTCTTAACGTTTCAAATTCAAAAAATTGAGTTCCAGCAGAAAATTCTGAAAATTGAGAAAGTTATGATCAAAAAACTTTTTTTGATTTTTTTCAAAACGTTTTATTTTGATCCTGAATCTGTCAATTTTTTCCTACTTTCAAAAAAATGTAAAATCCTAGGGATCTCAAATTTTATGCTGAGCAATTTTTCGAAAAAAAAATTGTCTGGAGCGCCTTTGGCGCGTATTTTAAGCAAGGAATTTTGCGCCGCCAGGTCTTGATGCGAAAATTTGGAATTTTAAGGCAAATCTATGCTCAAAATTTTAAATTTTTGAATCGAGACCTGTCGGCGCGAAATTCAAATTTTTTTGAATTTGAAAATTTTTTCTATTTGCTTCTTTGGTTTCCTTTTTTTGAGATTTTTCTGAAATTTAGAGTTTTTATGATTTTTCAATTTTCCCAATTTTCCCAAAATTTTGAAACTGTAACAAGACCTGTCCATCCATGTACCTGATAACTGATAAGGAGAGAGAAATGAGAATTCGTTCTGTCTGTTTTCTCTAGACTCTCCTCTCCCCACACACTCTCTCGCCATCTCGCCCATTGATTCCCTTTTCTCGCTGCTAAGATAGCCATTTATTTGTTGATTTTGATAGAAAAAGAGGCGAGAGAGTGTGGGAAATTGAGGGACGCAGACAAACATTTTGAGATGATAAGAGGGGAGTGATGACGTGTCGTCCATATGTATAGGTGTGCATGAGAAACTGTGTCGCCTCTGAGCATGTATATGGAAGACACCAAAAAGGGAAAAATATTTTTCAAAAAATTTAAAAAGTTCTAAGTCTGAAAATCCAACTATTAATGTGAAAATCTTTTAAAAATCTAGAAAAATTTTCAAAATTTCAAAAAAAAAAAATTTCTTAGAAAATATCACCTATCTCAAAATTATTTTCGGTCATAACTCTGTCAAATTTGGATATTTTCAGCTGAAAGCTTCATTTTCATATTTCTCACGTCTAGAGCTTCAAAATGAGTATAATTATGACCCACTTTCCTTAAATTTCAAATTTCGGTCCCCCTATGCGCCTTTAAAGTGGGAAAATCAAAATGAGCAGAGCCTATTCGTGTTTATACTCATTTCAAAGCTCTTCACACCATAAACTCAATAAATTAAGTTTTAGCTCGAAATTCTGAAAATTGAGAAAGTTATGATCAACACAAGTTTTTTTGGAATATTCCCAAAAAAGTGTTATGTAAGCAAGCTTCGTTATTATTTATTTTTCAAACATCTATTAATTATTTCTGAGTTTGTCACATTTCGAGCTTCAAAATGAGTATAATCATGACCTACTTTCCTCGATTTTCAAATTTCGGACACCCTATGCGCCTTTAAAGGAGGCCAGACACCAAAAAAAAAGAAGTTTTCCTGATATTTTGCATGGAGAACCCCCATGAGGGGTTGAACTCATGACAGGCAGCTTAGGGGTACAGCGCCGCTACCGGCTGAGCTACGGGGGGGGGGGGCCCGAAGGCGCCAGACGACCGATGGTCTACATAAGCGCGGCGCGATTTCGGCCCCCGAACTGCCCCCGAAATTTTTAAAGTCCAAAATTCAAGTTTAAAGAAACATGGTCATGTTTATACTCATTTTGAAGCTTTAAACGAAACAAGTTCGAAAATTTAGTTTGAAATCAAAAATTGTGGGAATTGGAAGAGTTGTAGTCGAAACAAAAAACAATCGAAAAAATAATAATGGTATCGATTGTTTTGAAGGGCACCTGAATAATTTCTACGGGTATAAGAAACTCCCTTTTTTTTCTACAATTCAGGGCCCCTCACCAGGTCACATGTGATGACAGTCGTACATTATTAAAATCTTGATTTCAGACTTCATTTCCGAACTTGAGCTGTCCACTTTCCGCAATATTATTACTTATTTAAGTAGCACACCATTTAAAAACTCATTTTCATAATTATTTTGAAAAGTTTTGCGAGCTCTGACTCACAAAGCATCAATTTCAGCTACATTCTTTCTCTTATCTTTTTAAACATGCTCTCTTCTTCCTCATACAAATTATTTCTATAAAAAAACGAAACATGAAGTAAACATTCAGTCGTACTCACTCTACTTAAAATGTCGTTTAATGCAGCCAAAGTTCCATTTTTTCAATGATAAAATTGTCGCAAATAATTCGATTGTTTCAATATTTCTTCCAAATTTTCAAAATTCTTATCCCACTCATCTCTGCTATCAATTGCCATTGATGGTAGTAGTGTAGTCCAGTGTTGAGCGGAATTCCGTCTTCCGTCTTCCGTAAAATCCGGAAAAATCACAATAAACGGAAGACTAACATTTTTCAGGATTTGTCGAATTTTTCTCAAGTTGTCCAAAATTCTTTCGGCGGACGGATCCGTCTAACTGCAAAACCGATGCGAAAATTCGATTCTAACGTATTGTCCCGTATAGTTAGGCGAGAAATAAGAAATTTGGGTCTGCTAATGTTTTTGGCTTGCGGAAACATTAGCAGACCCACGAGACGGAGAGAAAAGTGGTCTGCTAATGTTTGAATCGACCAACGAGAGACGCAGAGAAATGGGGTCTTTTCGGCCGGTCGAAAATCGCCGACCGCCGACCGACAGCCGATCGTTTTCGTGCATTTGATTCAAATCAGAACAGTGTCGTTCTCGAACAAGTATAGAGCGATTCAGAACAAGGACAAAATCGAACT